GAAAGGCAAAGCAATAACTCCAGAAGAAAATAACAAAATTTTGAAACTTGCCATTGCTGAGTACATTGTAAAGAAGGCCCAGGGAGGATCCAAGATGGCTGATTAGGAGCAGCTCAGGATTGCAGCTTACAGCAAAAGCACAGAGGGTGAGTGGACACCGCATTTCCACATGGATTTTTATTGCCCACAGACCAGGAGAATTCCAGGCGGAGGAGCCCCATCGGTCGCCAGTGTGGCTGTTTTGGCCGGCGTGGTGGGTCTCTGCACAAAATACGTCGGTCCGGGTGCCATTTTAGCTGGCGACTGGAGCTCCTGGGAGACAAGCGTCACCCATTCAACTGATAAAAAGGGGACCGAAACAGGGAGCCAGGCCAGGAGATTCCCGGGCAAAAAAGTGAAACGAATCTCTGCACGGCTGTTTCAGCCAGTGCAGTGGGTTGCTGCACGGGAAATCACACAGATCCCGGCACCTTTTCAACAGGCAACTGGAACGTCTGAGAGACAGTCGCCCATTCCACTGATAAAAGGGGATGGAAACAGGGAGCCAGGCCAGGAGATTCCCGGGTGAAAAAGCACCACGAATCGCCAGCACGGCTGTTTCAGCTGGTGCAGGGGGTCGCCGCTTGGGAAATCACACAGATCCAGGTGCTTTTTCAACAGGCGACTGGAAAGCCTAGGAGATAAAAGTCACTTGTTCAACTGAAAAAAAGGGACTGAAACAGGCAGCCAGGCCAGGAGATTCCCGGGCAAAAAAGCACCACAAGCCCCCAGTGAGGCTCTTTCGCCTGGCTCGACGGGTCTCTGCACAAAATCTCACACAAATCCGGGCACCTTTTCAACTGGCAACTGGAATGCCTCGGAGACAGAGTTGCCCGTTCAACTGAAAAAAAGGGGACTGAAACAGGGAGCTAGGCCAGGAGATTCCCTGGCAAAAATGCACCACAAGTCTCCAGTGGCTGTTTCAGCCGGCACAGCGGGTCTATGCACAAGAAATCACACAAATCCAGGCACCGTTTCAACTGGTGACTGGGACACCTGGGAGACAGAGTCGCCCATTCAACTGAAATTAAAAAAAGGGGGGGTCTGAGGCAGGGAGCCAGGTGATCAGGCTTGGCTTGTCCCACCCCCAGAAAAAACAGCAATCTGAAACACTCTGGATTGAGAGTTTCACAGCAGCACAGCTGAACCCGGGACGTCCAGCTCTGTGGGAGAGGGGTGTCCACCATTACCGAGGCAGTCTACCACTACCGAGGTAGTTTGCCATTGCTGAGGCAGTCCACCATTACAGAGAGTCTGCGATTACAGAGGTGGGCCGCCATTGCAAAGGCAGTTCTAACTATACCCCTATAAACAGGACTGCAGGGAAGATTACACGGCAGCTGGGCAGAGCCCACAGCAGCTCAGCAAAGCCTCTGCAGACTGTGACTAGGCTGCCTCCTCGCTGGGCAAGGCAGCCATGAAAAAAGGCAGCAGCATGACAGAAACTTATAAATAAAGCCCTAACTCCCCAGGACAGAGCACCTGGGGGGAAAAAAAGGCGTTTTTGAGTTCTGCCGCAGCAGACTTAAATGTACCTGCCCAGCAGCTCTGAATGAACAATGGAGCTCACAGCTCAGCATCTGAGCTCCTATAAAGGCCAGACTATCTCCTCAAGCAGCTCCCTTACCCCCGTATATCCAAAGAGTCACCTCATAAAGGAGAGCTCAGACTGACATCTGGCAGGTATCCCTGTGGGACAAAGACAGCAGAAGAAGAAACTGGCAGCAACCCTTACTGTTCTGCAGCCACTGCAGGTGATCCCCAGGCAAGTGGGGCCTGGAGTGGACCTCAGCAGTCCTACAGCAGAGGGGCCTGACTGGTAGAAGGAAAACTAAGAAACAGAAAGAAATAACTTCATCATCAACAAACTGGACGTCCACTCAGAGACCCCATCTGAAAGTCAACAACTACAAAGATGACAGGTGGATAAATCCACAAAGATGGGAAGAAACCGGCACAAAAAGGATGAAAATACCCAAAAGCAGAACGCTTCTCCTCCTCCAAGGGATCACAACTCCACACCAGCAAGGGAACAAGCCGGAATGGAGAATGAGTCTGATGATTTGACAGGAAAAGGCTTCAGAAGGTGGGTAAAAAGAAACTTCTGTGAGCTAAAAGAACATGTTCTAACCCAATGCAAAGAAACTATGAACCTTGAAAAAAGGTTTGACGAAATGCTAACGAGAATAAACAACTTAGAGAGGAATATAAGTGAATTGATGGGGCTGAAAAACACAACACGAGAACTTCGTGAAGCATACACAAGTTTCAACAGCCAAACTGACCAAGCAGAAGAAAGGATATCAGAGGTCGAAGATCAAGTCAATGAAATAAAACGAGAAGACAAGATTGGAGAAAAAAGGGTAAAAAGAAATGAACAAAGTCTCCAAGAAATGTGGGACTATGTGAAAAGACCTAATCTATGTTTGACAGGTGTACCTGAATGTGACAAAGAGAATGAATCCAAGCTGGAAAATACTCTTCAGGATATAATCCAGGAAAGGGCCCACCTTCAGACTTAGACTTCTACTACACTAATGAAGCCAAACCAGTTCCTGGAATCAGCTTAGTCAAGGAAGCTATCTTTGGTTGCTCATGCACAGATTGCTTCTTTGAAAAATGTTGTCCTGCTAAAGCTAGAGTTCTTTTGGCTTATAATAAAAACCAACAAATTAAAATCCCACCTGGTATCAACATATAGGAATGTAACTTAAGGTATCAATGTGGACCTCATTGTCCCAATAGGATTGTACAGAAAGGCATACAGTATTCGCTTTGCATCTGTCGAAATAGCAATGGCTGTAGCTGGGGTGTAAAGACCCTTGTGAAGATTAAAAGAATGAGTTTTGCCTTGAAATATGTTGGAGGGGTAATCACAAGTGAAGAAGCTGAAAAATGGGGACAGTTATATGATAAGGGAATCACATATCTCTTTGATCTGGACTATGAATCTGATGAATTCATGATGCATGCAGTTCAATACGGCAATGTATCTCATTTGTGAATCACAGTTGTGACCCAATGCTGGGGTCCATCCCACAGACTCCAGCTGAACGACAGATGAATCATGTACTCAAACACTGATATTCAGTGAAAGAATGGACTAGGAGGCCAGGCCACTGACTGAAAGCATTGTAGCAGCCGCACCCCACCACCAGCCAAGCTCACATTTGTTTAGTACAGATTAAATGACAAAGGTTTAGAGTAAATACCACTAGAAGGTAATTAACAATGCTGACCCCTCAAGTAGAAAGCAATCATGTACCCACAAATGGTCGAAGGATCACATCAGTAAACAAGATATTTAGATAAATTCCCTTACATTCCTTTGTTATTTACCCTTGCTATTACCTCAAACAGGATTAGGCTGCCTTCAGCTATAACTCTAGCCTGAGGCTTTTAGCAAACCTTCCAGCCTTCCAAGAAGATCTGTGCCTATTTTACAATTTCTCCTACCATCCTGCCTGAACACTTACATCTTCCCCTTTTCTGTTTTCTGCATCAGGCCTTACTGATTAAAGAGTGCAGATGTGTGCAGCAGCAGGTCTGTCAGGCATGGCAGTCATTGCTCTTATTCCGGCTCTGTGTCCTAGAATTAGTAAATAACATAAGAGAATAATGAGTATAATTAGCAACATTCTTTTCCAGTCAAACAGTGACCTGTAATATTACTTGGTATCTCAGTTCACTGTATGCCATTAATGAGGAACCCCACAGGGTTATGTTAATTACTCCTAGCCAAGCAGTCATGTCGTTAGAAGCTGGGAAGGGGATGTAACAGGCAGCAAAAAGGCAGATTAGAAGATGGGAAGGGAGTGTCTGCTTAAGTAACAGGGGGAAAAAGGCAGATTAGAAGATAGGCTCGAATAGAGTGTAGCAGGTACAGGTGGTAGGCAGAGTGAGAGAATAAAAAAGGAACAAGTTATCTGGAGTGAATGGTGTCTGCATCCAGAGTAGGATTCACTTTGCCTTTTGAGTTCTCTTCTTCAGCATCCCCCAGGTAATGTCCAGGGCTTGCGTTGTTCATGGAAAACACATTTTCTGGGGCTATGGGTCCTGTAGGGTCTTTCCTATCATGGCTTCAGTTTTTTCTTCTTTCCATCCTTTGATGAGGACGTAGTCTCCAAGCTGGTGGTGGTGTACTGGAAATTCTAGGGGTGGTGCCTGTGCTAAGAGAACTGTTATAATCTTTGTTAAAGAGTCAGTTAGTGCTTTAAGAAAAACCTGTTGTGCTTTATTTTAATGTTTAGTTTACAGAAGAACTGGATAATACTTCTTTAACAATATGTTTACACATAGAATTTCTCTAATTAACATTTTAAAACTTGCTTAGACCTTCGAAACAAAAATTACACATTTCTTGAACATTTTTCATGACTTTCGCAATCTTCAACATGCCTTTTCAGTGTTTTATAAGCTTCCTTACTAAAGGTGCATTCTTATACCTATAACTTTAATATTTCTTTCTCTTCTTTCTACTTTCTCTCCTTTGTCTTACTTTTTGTGTCTCTCATCTCTGTCTCTTCCAGGCTGTTGCTTACTCATTCCCTCTATTTCTCTCTCCAATCTTTCTGTTTCTGTCTGATCTTGGAAGCTAAGCACGGTCGGGCCTGGTTAGTACTTGGATGGGAGACCGCCTGGGAATATCAGGTGCTCTCAGGTCAGTTTCTTCATTTCTGGTACCAGGCTGGGTCCTACCCGTGCTATGGTATGGTTTGATGCATCATGCTGGAATCCAAAGAGGAACTGACGGGGTCTGAACACAAGCATATCTCCTCCCCATGTTAGTAAATAATTTGGACCACATCATACATTTCTGTTTACATCTTTCCATAAAACTGCAGGTTTTATGTCTTCAGAGGTTTTAGCAAATTGCTTTTCTACAGCTGATTGAAATTTATCATCTAAATTTTAAAAATTAAAGGTATATAAGGCTTGTTCCAATAGTGTTGCAGGGTCCTTACCCATACTCCCCTTTTGTGTTTTGAGCATATTTTTAAGGGTGGAGTGGGCACATTCTACTATGGCCTGTCCTTGGGGGTCATATGGGATGCCTTGTGGAATGTTGGATGTTCCATGTGTGACAAAATTGTTGAAATTGTGAGCTGGCATAGTAAGTCGGACCATTATCAGTTTTCATTTTTGTGGGCTGCCCCATAAATGCAAAAGTTAAAAGAAGATGCTTAATAACATATTAGATGGACTCTCCAGGAAAAGCATGAGTGCTAATTAAATGTGAACTGGTAGCAATGAATACATGTACATATCTGTTTTCTAAATTCAGGGATGTATGTAATATCTATTTGCCATAACTGATTAGGTTCTAGTCCTCTAGGGTTAACACCTGTTGAAGGAGGGAATGTGCCTGTTAGCTGGCAATCTGGGAATTGTAAGATAATATGTTTAGCTATTCTTTGAGTAAGTTGAAACTGTTTAGATAAGTTTCTCCAATTTTGGTGGAAAAACTGATGCAACTGGGTGGCTTGGTCAAGCAGTGATGTCATAACCTGAAGTTCTGCTTGTTCACTGCCATAAGCCAATAGGCCAGGCAGTGAGCAGTGGGCTCAAATATGTGTGATAAAAATAGGATGTGTGCATTGATCCAGCAATTGCTGAAGTTGAAGAAAAAGTGCACACAGGGTGGGCTCAGGCGTAGAGTTTGAGGGATGTTTGAAGGTTCTGCAAAACAGAGTAAGCAGAGTCACTAACGATGTTAATTGGCAGAGTGGAAAAAGTTTCCAAGGCCAATACCAGGGCCCCAATCTCAGCTGAGCCCAGATCAATGAGAAAATTATGTGGTCTCCACCAGACTGCAGCTTTTCCATGTTTACCCAAACCATCATTAAACAGTGTTAAAGCATTAAGTATGGGGGAATGAACTATTTTTGTAGGTAAGATCATCAGAAATATGAGATAAGAACTAAAGGAGTTTATCAGCAGGAAGGGCATTCTCTATTTGACCTGTGTAATTGGAGAGTGCTATTTGCCAATCTAATGATAGGGGCAAAGCTGCTTCGAATAGCTTTTTACTCAAAGGAATCCTGATGATATCAGGATCATAACCTAGAAACATTGCATCGTCTGCAGCCTGAATACATGACTTTACTGATTAACTGGATATAGGGAGATAATGTTTTAGTCCCGGCAGGTGAGCAAAAAACTCATTCTAGAAAGAACAGTTCTGGGGTCATCTATCCTATTAACTCTGTAAGGGAGTGTTTGGTGGAAAAAACAAACAATTGAATACAGTGGATGGATGTGATCTAGTTGCCTTTGAGAGATAGCTTGTTGTATTTCCTCAATTTCTCTTTGCTGCAGGGGTTAAATATTTGGGAGAATCCAGAGCTGTATTGCCCTTTAAGACAGAAAACAAGTTTTACAACTTATAAGTAGTTATGTCCTTAACGAACTCATGGGCTTGTTGCAATTTCTCTCCCTTTAGAGGCTATTTTTCTACCAAATTGGATTTTGAAAGAGCCACGTAGGGGTAGGTTTAGAATAACAACAGTGGCCATTGTTATAAAGGGGTCTTACAAATTCTAAAATTTTACTTAAATCTTAGTGGAGAATTATAATCTGGGACATTGCTTGTAAACAAGGAACATACAAAATTTTGCTATAGGCCACCCACAAAGCCAGAGGGCAGCAGTCCTGGGATGGTGGCCATGTTGCACTTGCCTGGGAGCTGCCTTTTGTCTGTTCTGCTTTTTGTTTGCACTGCTCCCTCCTCCCTCCGCTGGGTGGCTGCTGCCAGCCTGGGCAGTTCCTATTGGCCTGGGGTGCCGCGAGCTTCCTTGCCACTGAGCCTTGTCTTCTGCCCACTTGGCCACGCAGTTTTGGCCTCTAATGCCTTTTTTCTTATCTTTTTATTATTTATTTATTTATTTATTTAGAGACGTAGTTTCGCTCTTGTTACCCAGGCTGGAATGCAATGGCGCAATCTCGGCTCACCGCAACCTCCGCCTCCTGGGTTCAGGCAATTCTCCTGCCTCAGCCTCCTGAGTAGCTGGGATTACAGGCACGCGCCACCATGCCCAGCTGANGTAGAGACGGGGTTTCACCATGTTGACCAGGATGGTCTCGATCTCTTGACCTCGTGATCCACCCGCCTCGGCCTCCCAAAGTGCTGGGATTACAGGCGTGAGCCACCGCGCCCGGCCTCTTATCTTTTTATAAGCATGCACCCGATTCTTTGTTGATCTTGCATTACCAGGCAAGCTAAAAGCTCCTCTTCTAATGCCTTAAGTCAAGGTCCCAGCTGTAGCGTATCCCTTGTCTTTTCTCCTATCTATTGGAGGAGGGGGCTCAGGCAAAACCTGTTGTTTCCTTTTTGTTATTTTGGCCCAGTGATAGTGGGACTGAGGGACTCGGGGGTGGTGAGGTAGGTGACGATTCTCCCTCTTTCCCCTTTTTAGGCTCTTCTGCGTATGATGGGACCAGAGTACTGGGGCCCATTGCCCTTGAGCATGTTGTTGTTTAAGAGTTCTTCCCATTTGTTTCCAGAGCTTGATGTCTAGTATGCCTTCTACTGGGAACCATGGGTTATGGAAGACAACAGTTTGCATTAGGTCCATTAATTGAGCCTGTGAAACCGAGGGTCCACTGGCTTTAAGCAGCTGTTTCAATACTTTTATGTACTGTTTCTGTTGAGCTGATTACTGTTGTCCCATGATGAAACCCTAGCCTGAACAATCCCCCCAAAGTTGGAAATCCCAAGTGGGTGCCAATGAAGTACTGACTCACTGACTGCACAGTCATTTTCACCTTCTTTTTTGGGGGTTCCATGGCAATGCTTTGTAGCATTTATCACATCAGGGTCACCACCTGCCAGGGTCCATCCTGCATACCCCAGCTGCACGACAGATGAATAATGTATGCAAACACCAGTATTCAGTGATGAATAATGTCTGCAAATGCTGGTATTCCATGAAAGAGTTAACTAGGAGGCCAGGCTACTGGCTGAAAGACTTGTAGCAACCGTGCCCGATCCACCGGCGAAGCATGCATTTATTTGGTACACATTAAATGACAAAGGTTTAAACACCACTAGAAGGTAATTAACAATGCAGACCCCCTCCACTCACTGTCCAGTAGAAAGCAATTATGCAACCCCAGATGGTCAAAGGTTAGTCTTAGGACCACGTGAATAAAGAAACTATTTAGAGATGCTCCCTTACATCCCTTGCTATTAGCTCAAAGAGGATTAGGCTGCCTTCAGCCATAACTCTATTCTGAGGCTTCTGCAAAACATTCCAGCCTTCCAAGAAGGTTTGTGTCTATTTTACAATTTCTCCCACCATCCTGACTGAACCCCTACAACCCAATCTTCAGGTATTCAATATTTTCATTGATAACCTTGATACTGGTACAGCTCCTATGAGTGGAGGAACACAAGGATTCTTGGTCCTTGCGCCAGTTTAGATAAAATGACATGGACATATGTGGAGTTTTAAGGAGTGGAGAGTTCAATAGGCAAGAAGGGAGAAGGAAGCTCCCCTGTACAGAGACAGAGGGGGGCTCCAAAGCTGAGAGAGGGAACCCCACCTGTCACAGATACCAACTAGGTATATATACAGAGGCTGGAAGAGGTCATGTCTGATTTGCATAGGGCTCAGGGGATTGGTTTGACTAGGCATGTCATTCACATAGCCTGTGAAAAAGCTAGCCCTCCCATCCTAGCCTTCTAATGTGTAAATGCAGGGCACCATGATGTGCAACACACATGGGGATATATGGGGGTGGCCATGTTGCCAGGAACATGTGGGGACAGGGCAAGGAGGCCATGGAAATTGCCATGTTTGGGTGGACCCAGTTTCTAATGGCTTGCATTTGCATATCAAAGGTTGCAACCCAGGTTCTAAGAGCCAGGGCTTTACAAGAAAGTTTTTGGGAGATGCTTTAAAAAATGAAAACTTCCCAAGGCCCCCTTTTCCTCTCTATCTGCCTAAAATAATTTCTTAACTCCTACAACAATACTCGTCTTCCCTGAATTGCACTGTTTTCCACAAGAACCATAATTGCTGGAGAAAAGCTGACTTATGATTATCAAATGAAAGTGTGACATGGTAAATGCCCCATAAACTGCATACCTCGACCATACCTCGGCTTTCCATTGAAGCTGCTCTCTGTTACCCTAATGTGACAAGCAAGCAGTCAACCAATGCCATTTTGGTCCATT